GACAAAATGCTGCTAAGCAGGAATGGTCTCCCCAACCCTGAGCAAACAGGAAACAGATGTAAGTAGAAAGAAGAAGATATAAAGCCCCTGGAAAGAGTGAATTTCATCTTAGTAACATCATTGAATATAAAACTGATCCAGCTAATAAAGCAAACATGTGACTTACAGAATTTCAGCTCCAATATCGCAATAGTAAGTACGAAGTGGTGTTTGGAATTGCGGCAACAGCTTAAAAATAAAAGCAATCTATTATTTTAAAAAATCAATTTCTGCACTATAGTGTTATACTCCTCCTTTTGAAATCGTGCTGCTCAAGGTTTATCTGGACTTTATGCTAATTTTTAATTCTAAGAACACTGAAAACATACATTTCCTTTGTTCAGTGATAAAATAGATTCCTTTGAAGTTCTCTTCAAAGAATTTGCTTCCACACAAATATATTTGAACTTGAATTTTATCAATTAAAATTTTGTGTTTAATTAACAGATTAGGTTACCTTTGAGAGATAGATTTTAATTTTATTCCTATTTAAATTTTTCCCACTTTCTCTTGAGAGAAGGCTAATTGAAAAATCTTAAAGGTACTTCAAAGACATCTTAGCTTGTAATTTATTAATATTATTGAAATATAAAGGTTCTATATGAAATGTAGAATTGGGAAGGGAAGATACACAAGGAAACAGAGAGGAGAAAGAAATATTTTTAAAAATGTATTTATTTGATATGGGGTCTTGTTACACAGCTCGAACTCATAGTGATCCTCTTGTCTCAGCCTTCCTAGCACTGAGATTACAGGCATGCACCACCATGCCCAGTTTCAGGGCTGGCACAGCATGCCCAGGGTTCTGGGGCCGGCATAGCATGTTGTATTGGGGATTGAACTCAGGTCCTCGTACTTACCAGGCAGGCACTTAGACCGCCAAACTATCTCCCCAGCCCAGAAATATATTGATAGATCTATAACTATTCTTTCTATAGATTTTTCTAGTTCTGACAGCTTGGGGCTATGGATGCAAAAGAACATTTTAGTTTCAGCATTTAACAAGGTAAATATTATGGTTGTTTCATAGTGTCAACTTGAGAAATTTAGTTTCACTAAGTGACTCAGCAGGGGATCAGGGTCCTCGCTTTGTAAACAACGATAGTCTGTGCAGGAGGAGGGTAGGAAGGTGGTGTGGGTGCCTCACCTGCTCTCGGGCAGGTGGCCTGCATACAATATTTAGGAGGAAAAGCGGGCTGCTCCCGACTTTCCGCTCTTCTTCCTTTCGCTGTCTTCTGCTGCCTTGAGCTATTGCTCTTCATAGTTCCATCCAGTCTTAGAACGAGCTGATTATGGACTGAAACTGGCATAAACGGTGAGCTAAATAAACCTTTCTTCCTTTATCTTTGAGTTTGGGTATTTTGTCTCAGCAATGAGAGAAAGGTAACTAAGACCATAAACATTATTATGTAGAGTAATGCTTCCAGTAATCCTGCATCAGTAATACTTCTAGTAATCCTGCATCAGTGTTGAGATATAGGTCCTAGTGCTTAGGAGCCTTAGCATTGACTATATCCAGCCAATTTTTTTAAAAAAGAGCTGAGTATCTAAGATTAGTCTTTCCTTTCCTTTCCTTTCCTTTCCTTTCCTTTCCTTTCCTTTCCTTTCCTTTCCTTTCCTTTCCTTTCCTTTCCTTTCC